AGTCTAGGTTTTTACCTGTAGTGAGTTTTCCAGAATACCTTCTCCCAGGTCATGAAATACACTATCCTGCAGACATAGAAATGGTAATTCAGTATGTCAGATGTGACTGATATGATATTACCATACCTGGTCAGCATAGCGCCCCCCTGTGTCTTCTGGCAGGTACTTCCCTGTGTTGTCTTGGATAAAGCCACTGTGGGACCAGTAAGTGTTATCAAAACAAAAAGAGCGTCGGTTCTGAGGTTCACGTGGGTCCTGGATGGTGATGGAGCACGGTACCATGGAGATGATGCAGCGACTTCCAGCATCTCTTTCCCTCTGAGCAAAAAGATGCTATTACACTCACTAGGCACCTATATGGAAATTATAATGCAATGGTACAGCTGCCCTGGGGCTGACTGATGGAGATTTGGCTAAAATACTGTACAAAAAGTGAGTCATACTCATTTACATTTATTTGAGTAACTTTCTGAAGAAATAGTACTTCTAAGAATAGTTATTGGACACCATATCTTTACTTCTACTTGGGGAATATTTTGTTTGAAGTAGCAGTGCTCTTACTTGGGAAAAAGTTGTGTTTCCTCTTCTCACTGTGAGTAAGTATACAAGTAAGAATAAGCGATAAAAGCTTATGTTGATATATTGTTATTAGTAGTAGTATTTATTTGAACATTTGTGTTTCTTACATCACTCCCAGATATCAGATATGACACCAGATTTGTTGCATTTGTGTTGAAATATGATTGTAATCCCCAAAACATTTTCCTCTTACTTGAGTAATTTCTTAAGTAATCACTTCTATTTGAGTAACATTATTTTGAAGTAATGTTATTCTTACTTGAGTCAAATTTTTGGCTACTCTACTCACCTTTACATGATGAAGCACCAGCAGCACTATGTAACTGTTCTGTTGGAGGGCCACCTGCTTGTCTCCATGGAGATGTTTATAGCTGTGCCTATAATGTTCTATAGTATACTCATCAATCTCCATCGAGACAAGAAGGTAATGTCACCAGCCAATTTAGAGGTCACATCAGTGGAAAGACTATCCCACTGACACTCACAGTAAACATACAGGGCATACCACCTGTAACTGGATATATGCACTATATTAGTGAGCTTAATGCCATACATTGGAACATTAAAGTCAAAGTAATAATGCCATACAGTGGAACGTTCAAGTCAGAACATCTCTACAAGCTGGTGGTGCATTGTCAACCAGAAAAGTTACACAGTGCATCTCTACTCTACTACTGTGACACTGAAAAATACATAAGGTACAAAGCAGTGATACAAAAAAACTTTCCAATGTCAAATGAGCATTACCTTGTTGAAAGGCCGGACCCTGACTGCTACCCTGACACAGTCCTTTTGCATGTCCGTATGTTTTGGTCTCATCATAGAGCGGCGGTCCAGAGCAGACAGACTGATCAGCCTCTCCACTCCACTGAGCACAAGCAACCAGTGTCCGGTTACAGACAAAACACAGCCACTGTCACTGCACACAGGAAAAGTATACCACTAGAGGATAATGACTTTCACTTTAAGACCTTACTGAGCTGATACTAATTATAAAACTCTTGACGAAATAAGGAGCTAAAAACATCTCTGCTGTAGATGATTTGTACCCTCATTTGGTTTGACCTGTAGAATACTCCTTTTTCAGACAGGGCCTAAGTCAGACCTGTACAATCAAAAACTGCACACAAGATATTTGGTTTTGGCGCTTTACCATATTTATCAAAGCAGTCATCAAAATACAATTATACATACATTCATCAAAAATAGCCTATGTGCGTGATATTGCCAAGCATCTAAGCATGTTCCAGATAAACACATTCAAATGCAAATGCAGTCATTCTTTCACATTTACAGTCCAATTAATAAGTGTACAAGTATGCATGTTACAGGGAATTACAAATTTAAGACTATGGCATAGGCAGATAAATGCTTTTGAAACACTTGAAACTTCCAAACAAACATAATTGTTTAAAGATTTATTTATTAACTTTATTTGGAACATAGCAAAATACTATATACATTTTATTTGTAGGAAATGTGTTTTTTTTTCATTGGATTGGTGGCTTTTTTTCTATAGTAGAAAAACAGCATTCATCAAAATAAAAACAAATAAAATTAGAATGTATATAAAACCTCTTTATCAGAGGTAAATTTTCTTCTCTGATTTAAGTAAAGGTACAACCTTAGATCACATTTCCCTTTTGCCATTTCGAGCCCAGAGAAGCAGTTTCCAATATTTGCATATTGACTAGCACAAAATGGCTAATGCACACTAATCTAGTGAAATAAAGTTTAAAGGGGTGGGACATGTAAACTCCAAAAATAGTCCTCTTTTACAGAAAGTGAACTGTCCCCAAAATATGTTCATGCCTTAGCATTATTTTATCCATAAGCAAAGAAATGTATATTTACACAAATATTCTGCTTCAATTCCAGCACTGAGGCAAATGAAAAACAGTCTATGGGTGACAGGGCCTGGCCAGGCTTCATCTCTGGGCTACCTGAGGTTTACGGTTCAAAGACGCCCAGCCTCCTATAGCTTCTTCCTCCGCGTTACAGGTTTGGTTAAAACTGTGTCCATAATACGCTTGCGCCGAAGGTTCATAGTTGAAGTTGGGCCTTCCGCTTCTTTTGTCCTTTTCTGGGCGCGAGGAACCAGATCAGCTGGACTGGGCAGAGAGGAGATAGTAGGTCCACTTCTGCTATCAAGGCTGGCTCCAACAGTGCTTTAGATCTAAAATTTAAAATAAATATATATCTGTACCAACAGACAAACTTTAAAAACACCTGAAAGTGGGAAATCTTACTTTGCTGTTCTTTTGCTAGTTTTTCTTGTATTTGACACTTTAGCCTCTTCCACTTCTACAGCCATTTCATCCTGTTGAAAATGAAAAAAAAAATTGCATTTCAAATTTATTTGTTTTCAGTATAATAATTTCACATTTACTCACCTCTGGGGGAACAGCATCCACAGTGGACACGTTCCTCCTGCTTCGAGTGACAGGTGCAATCTGACTGGGAGACTCCGCGGCCTTGGCTAAAATACACACAAACCTCTTAGCCCCAAAATAATCACATTGTTTGAAATTTTGTTAAATTCTCATTGCCCACCTCTTGTTCTTCGTCGAGATGGGGAATAAATGAAAGAGCTCTCCCCTGGACCAGACTTATCATCTGGATCAAAAACCACACTGTTCTCAAATGGGGGCTCAGGGTCCACCACAGACTTAGTGAGCCTCTTACTGGTTCTTGTTGGCGACTTTGTAACTGTTGACACAAACAAATGTATTAAATGTATTAGATGTCAACTTAATTTTGTTTTTGTTCCAACATTTGGCGCTGCACCTACACACCTTCCTGCTTTTGTTCTTCATCCTGAAGCCTCTTGATAAGCACATCTGCTACAGGGGTCTCTGAGGGCACTTCCAAAGGATGGTCTAATAAAGGCTGTTCCTCCTCAGGATGATCCCACAGCTTCTTTTTAGTCTTGCGAAGAGCATCTGCTTCCTGCTTTGGTTCAGGCTCGGACTGGTCTTGACCTTTCACTCCTCTTCTTTTCACACTCTGAGGAAGCAAAACAGGGACCAGTTTTACCTGGATGCATGGTTGTGAAAAGTTGATGAAATACCCATTGAATTAATCCTCAGAAGACAATTTGACATGAGATGAATAAAATATATGAAACTAACACCTCTAAGAGACACTCACCTGTGGGTAAACACTCGGAGTGATGCGATTCGACTGTCGAGTGGTTCGGCCCAAATTCGGAGTCTGGTGTTTCTTATCATTCTCTTCTACTGCTGTAGACAGCAGTGATGCAGCTTTTGTTTTTCTGGAGCTCCGTTTTGCAGGAGTTGTACTGACTAGCTCTTGTTCTTCCACCTCTTCTTTGAGTACTTCTAAAAGCTGTGGGGCATCTTCACTCAAGCTCACAGTGATACGACTGGACCTGCGAGAGGTGTAGTAGACTGTGCCGCTTTCCTTTTGGTGGGGGTCTTGCCCCTGGCAGAAGACTTAGCAACAGCATGTGTTTCAGCCATCTCTTGTTTCACCTTGGCCTCAGGGCTGGCTTCATCCTCTTCACTGTGGTGCTGTTTGCTGGTTCTTGAGGGGTTTCTCTGTGAACCCCATTTTCTGCCTGGAGACAAAGTCCTTGTAGTGCTAGACACAGTGTTATCACTCACGTTTTCCACTTTATCCTCCTTTTGTTCTGTTGGAGCTTCGGGCTCCGGCTCGGGCTCAGGTTGAGTTCTACGAGTACTTCTTCGAGGAGTGCCAATTATACTTTCTTTAACTTGTTTGCTTCTTTTAGTTGAGCGACCAGGAGAGGTGGCGACTGCAACAGTTGGTTCTTGGTCTTGTTCCATCTTCACTTCCTGTTCAGGCTTTCCCTCCTCGTCATGTACCTCTTCGGGCACAGGGGAAATGAAGGTGACAGCTCTAGCTCTGGTGGTCCTTCGAGTTGGGGTATACGAAGCCTCATTCCTTCTGCCAGAGCCTGGAATCTGTAACACTGGCTGTTCCTCTGGGGCATCATCAATCTCCTGCACAGATGCAACCACTGGCTCCTGTTTCTTTGATCTGCCCTTTTTTGTTTTTTCCTTGTCTCTTGATTCGGTTTCCTCCTCTTTCTCCTCGACTGACACTGTGGCCTGATCAGTCTCTGAAGCCTGTACATCCTCGCTGTTGGATGAGCATGGATCTTCTCTGAGCGGTTCGGGTGGTTCATCTGAAGGTTTTGTTTTGTCTTCAACCAATTCACCTTCTACTGGTGCATCTGACATCTCTTTATCTTTACACACCTCTAAGAGCTCATCTGTTGACTCTGGTACCTCAGCCTTCTGATCTTCAAGCTGCATTTCTGTATCTTCTTGCTCATCTTCAGCTTCTACTTGAGTCTGTGGTTCAGTATTTTCTATCTGCTCATTTTCTAGTGTATTTTCAGGTATTACCTCTTGAGCAGTATTTTCAGTCTGCTCATTTTCTAGTATATTTTCAGGAATTACTTCTTGCACAATATTTTCCATCTTCTCATTTTCCAATATGTTTTCTGGAATTGCCACTTGTTTGGTATTTTCTGCCTGCTCATTTTCTAGTATGTTTTCTGGAACTGCCTCTTGTTCAGTATTTTCTGTCTGCTCATTTTCTAGTATGTTTTCTGGAACTGCCTCTTGTTCAGTATTTTCTGTCTGCTCATTTTCTAGTATGTTTTCTGGAACTGCCTCTTGTTCAGTATTTTCTGTCTGCTCATTTTCTAGCATGTTTTCTGGAACTGCCTCTTGTTCAGTATTTTTTGTCTGCTCATTTTCTAGTATGTTTTCTGGAACTGCCTCATCTTTTGGCCCTTGTACCTTTGATTCTATAGGTGTGTCTGTTTTGGGGGATTCCAACTCTTTCTCTTCAATGACTTCAGGTTCTGGCAAATTAGTTTCAACTTTTTCCACAACCTGTACCTCAGAAAGTGTCTCTGCTTCTTCAGAAGACTCCTTTACTTCTGCATGCGAGGCTCCAGTAGACAGGTTGTTCTCAAGGTTTAGTTCTGTTTCTTTGTCTACATCTTCCTCCAAATCTAGTGTAAGTGAGAAGCTGCTCTGGCTTTCAGTTTTGTGGTCATTTGGCACATCCGTTTGAAAAATATCATTGGGAACTTGGTCAGTAGCATTCACCAGAGCATCTTGTCCCTCCACCAACTCCAGAGGTACCAACAGAGTGGTTGAGGGCTGGAGTTCCAAATAAGATGCTGCCTGAGCTGCTTCCTCATCTTGATCCATATCTCCTTCATCGGTGCCCAGGTGTACCATGACAACCTCTCCTTCGCCATCTTCAGCATTCTGCACAAAACATAGAAAAATTTAGTGTTTCTCTTTTCCATGTGGCAAATAATTTCAATTATGTAAATACTGAAATGTGGGGTAGTATATCAAAGAAATATGACAACTTGTAAAGTAACACACAAATTAAGCATACTTACTATACTTTCAGCAAGGTAGAAAGTATGGCAATGAACACAATGAACACAATTTGCATGTGTTTTTAGGTAACTCTACAGTGTATTTTTTTTTACCTTCATCTCAGAGGAAAAGGCTTCTGCTTCTTGTTGGGGCAAGAAGTGGGTGTGTCCTTGTATTGCAAACTCTGATGACTGAGGAGGTGGTCTGACCTGGATCTCTTCAATTATCTCCACTTCGCTTCCTGAGTCTTCTTCCTCTTCTTCACCGTCTTCTTCCTCCTCCTCCTCCTCTTCTTCTTCCCCTTCCTCAACATGACCATACTCCTCGTCTTCACCTTCATCTTCAGAAACAGGTCTAGAAAGCTCCTCACTGTCATTGACACTGAAAACAGCTATAAAAAGGCCCATAATAAAAAATATATGGATTAATGTCTAGGAGACATAAATGTTAACAGCATGTATATAAGTATTGCTCACAGTGGGAGTCTGTGCCTGTGGGTTCAGAGGAGGTAATGGAGGTGGTTGATTTCTGAGAAGAAAATACTGGTGCTGTGCCGGGAGCAGAGTGCTCCTCTGCCTCTTGATCCACAGACTCACTGAAATAAACAGGTCAAAAGCTGTTATTTGCAACTGCAACCAATTGAAGACTTTCAGCAAAAACATTCTCATTTTCATTGATTACCTGATGACTGAAGTCTGAGACAAAGACACCGAGTGTATTCCAGATCGGGTCAGAGGTGAAGTTAGATCATCGCCAAAGAGATGCCTCTGGACAAAGTCTGTCAAATCTAGTGAATAAAACACAAGATGGCTATTATAAAAACATGCCTGAGTATACATTTTATTAATAGGCCTAGAGGATTTAAAGTGAATACAATCCCCTCTAGTATTTTCCATTTTTAAATGAACCTGTTGATGGCTCCACTTCTGGTTCTCCTTTAACTGAACCTGTTGATGGCTCCACTTCTGGCTCTGGCTCGTTGGTGGGTTCTGTCTCCCTGGCTGGTTTTAGAGCTTCAGTCCCTTCTGTAGATTCAGGGATGAGACACTGCTCAGTCGGCTCCTTGGATTGCTCACACACATCCTCAGCTTGGGAGTCTGACTCTTTGATCAGCTCATTACAACCTTAAGAAAAAAAATACACATTTACAGTACTGAATTTACACTTTTAAGTGAAAACACCTAAATTAGTATTGAGACTTTACCATCATTTGGCTTGTCTTGCTCACTAGGAGTATCAGCACTTGCTTCAATAAGAACCTCCTCATTCATCTTTTCATCCATAGCATTTGTTATGTCTTGAGCAGAATCAGTCTCTGTAATATCTTCAAAGTTGACATCAACTTTATGCTCTTCCAAAAGTCCCTCAGACTCTTCCTGAGGCACAGGCTCCTCGGGCACCTCATCTTCAGTCTGAACTTGAGATTGGGGTATACCGCCATCCTCTGCAGGTGCTTGGATGATTGGCCCATTGTCACTCTCCACATGTTTGTCATCCTCTTGTTCCTCTGAAAGGGGAGCATCATAGTATTCTAAGGTGGTATCAGTGGATCGGACAGACGTGTGGCTTGTTTCAAAACTTAGGACCAGTTGTGATCCTGATGGTTCGTTCTCTTCGGTTTCTTCATGGAGTGAGGGAGAATTGGACACACTCTGGTGGGGTGAGGAGCTGCCCCCTTTAGTCACATCTGACTGTTGCTTCTCCTCCTGTACATCCTCCTCCTCTTCATCTTCAGCTTGCAAAGACCAGGAGTTGCGTGTGGTTTTAGATAGCAGTGCCCCTCGAGTCAGGAGATGAATCTCATTTTCAGATGCCTCCTAAACACATTTCAGTAGAACAAATTTTAAAAAATTGTTTGATAAAAAATGTTATGTGTTTGTATTTAGTTTGTACACTAACCCCATTAGTCCAACGAATGTTCTTCTCTATCTCAGGAGAGTCTGCCTCTTCAATGAAGGTGATGCGATTCTCCTTTCGAGGCGGGGGTGTGATGGAGCGCCCTGGAGAGGCAGAGGGCGTGGCCACAGGTGTAGGCCTAAGGCTGCTCCGTAGAATGGACTGAGGAGTGAAGCCGGCAAACACAGGACCTGAAGCAGCCAGAGCTCGAGCTCTCTATGAGCAAAAGACCCATAAAATTAAATATAATAAAAATATTATCATCTCCCAGCAAAAATGTATACATTTTCATTATTCACCTTGACAACCTGTGGGGTTTGCAGTAGACTAAGCTCTGGAGCTTTGCTGACGGTTTTTGGTGAAACCCAGGAGCTGGGAGGTCTTAGCGGGCTCTGGAGAGGCTGAGGCATCTGGCAAGATGGCTGCACTACCAGTTTCATCAGCCTGATACAGAATAGAGGCTAATGTCAATAAATGGTCACTTAGACCACCAGGACTAATATAAATTATAAGAAATTTCTCATCAATTATGAGAAGAATCAAATAAATTTTATATCTTGCTCCAGCATTGCAAAAAAGTTTCAAACCTTGACTTTCGTTTTGCTGACATGGTGATGGGTGTCCCTAGAAAAGGTTCAGGAAGAGCAGAGGACGGTTTTGGGCTAGGGCTTTTGATTTGTGTTGCTTTTGGGCTACAATAATAAGATGACAACATTTTATTTAAACATACATCATTCAAATTCAGTTATATATTTCTTTAAGTAGAGCTCACCTCTTTGCTGGAGAAGACTGGGGAGAATCTCCTTTACCAATCCACACCTCCTCGATCTTGGTCAGAACATTATTGATGAAACCAGCCCTAGAAATTACTTTTTCACTGGTAGAGCGCTTTGTAATAGTTGAAAGAGGCTGCGGCCGTGAGACTAGTTTGGGTCAAAACAAAGTATTTTATTTTATATTTTATTAATACTAAGAACTTGCTTGACAATAATGTTGAAAAGAATATCAATATGATTTTACCTTCCTTGTGAATGGTGAGTGGGCGTTGGTAAGGTTTGGATCGTTCCATTGCCAATTTTCTCTGAACTCTGGGCAAAACTTTACCATACTGATCAAGTATGGAGTTCCTTGTTGTTGATTGCTCTTTGAGTTTTGGATCTCTCTCATTCTAAATAAGGGTTGAACATTGATGGTCATGTTTTAATATTGACGACCAAATGTGCTGTTTGTATGTGCTAAACTTACCACCAGATTCATTTTTAGTGAGTGGTTGAGCTGCAGGGCAGGTATGTAGTTTGCTTGCTGAAGATAATGCACCATCAGCAGCTCACGATTCTGAAGCCCACCAGTGCCTTGAAGAAACTTCTCCAAACCCTCCTGTGAAGCAAAATACAGGACAAAGTAATTTAACAGTCATGTGTCAGCACTCTTTACCAGTGTAATACATAGTAAGGTTTCCTACCTGTTCAGAGAGGCCTAAAGGCAGTTTTAGCAGCTCCTTCATCAAACCCAGCTCCTGACAGGTCTCATAAAGAAAGCCCAAAAGCTCACTGATATTTAGACGATTTGAGTGCTGACGTGCCAAGGACCATGCTTCAATAAGACATCTAAAAATTATACAAAAAGGTGGTAAATGTGTCTAAATGTCTTGGCTGATGTTCAAGAATTGCACAAAAGTGAATGGACTGTTAACAAAAATGTAGGATTAAATTAGGGCTAAATCAGGTGAGGAAATGAGACTCATAGCTACATGTATACTAGTTCTAAACAAGGACCAACCCAACTTCATAAAATATATGAACTTTAGACCAAGTTTGTTTGAACCATACCTGTTATGCAGCAGAACTGATAGGCAGAGTTTTGCTTGTGATGTTGATGCCACTGCAGGTTTAGTGACATGTAAATATCTCAGCGCCTCACTATGCTGCCCCTGACACATCAGAGCCTGCAGAACTCGCTCATGCTGCCACTCAAACTGACACTGGGAGGCAGCTGGGTGTAAAAGCAGTTCAAAGGCACTCTAATTGAGACCAAAACAAATGAGGTAAACCAACATGATCTTATTCTCCTGTGGCACACTCGTTTGAAGCCTGTACCTGGTGGTCATGGTGGTCAAGCAGCCAGAGTCCTTGTATTAACTTCACCAGTCCAATGGGAATCGCAAAGGCAGTTGGGAAAGACTCAACGGATGCTCCCTCTTTGTTTGAGAAGGCATACATGACATCAAGCAACAGGTAAATGACCTAAGTAAATTTAGTTAAGGCTTAAATAGGAAGAAAGCAAAAAAGAAATATGAAAAGTGGATTTTTCAGCCTGATGCAATAAACTGATGAGGATACGATTGCATGTTTGGCAGCTTCGTCAATGTTGTCAAGTAGATAGATATCCAACAAAGCCTGTGGATGAAAAGATTATACTTATTATTATATTGTGTGCATTACATGTAAAGAATAGTTTTTTTTTCTTACATGTAAAGTAGGTGGTGGGTATTGTCCTGTTCCCTCCTCATCCCTTTTCCATAAATTAACCAAGCGCTCTCCACACTGGCCAACCAAGCCATCAATCATAAGACAGTCTGCACACCACTTGCCCCTGAAAATTGGAGAAATTGTAATACATTTAATCACTTTAATCATATTATTGGGCCTCATGCATTATTTTTCTCTTGGAAAAGATTGTAAAATCCAATTTATGAAGTTTAGAAGAGAATCCTGTGTTCCAGTGACAACAAAGCAATGGCAAGTGTATAAAAGTGCTTCCTGCCCATTGATTATTGTTAACCTTTACTACGCACTTAGCCAGCCTTTCGAGCTCTTCCCTTCTGATGGTGTAATAACTGCTGATTATAGAATGACTGTAGAATGGCCTGGAAATCTGAAGAGCGTCCTCATCTGATGGGAAGAAGATAAATGTTTACATTCAAAATGCCCAATGCCTGTAATGTTTAAAGGGTTTTTCTTTTATTCAAGTCATTACCTGATCCCTCAGGCAGAAGGCCAGTGCGACAGAACCAGAGCACAACTTGAGCATACTTTGAAATGAGGCCAGACACCACGTTCTTGTTCATCAGCCCCACCAGTCCTGTGCACAAAATAAGGTTAAAATGTATGTTGTAGATAAAGCTTTCTTTCACTCATGCCACTGTAGAAGAGAGGAATTATAGGTACCTTTCTGAGTGAGTTCATGAGCTTCACTAAGCAAACAATTGAAAATGGTGCTGAGGTTTGTCAGCAATCTTTGGCTGTGCTGTAGCAGTTGCATTGTCTGTGGGTCTGTAAAGTTTGATGAACTATCAAATAGTGGTGCACCTGCAAGTACAAGCATGAAAAAATAAAGAATCAATAAATATTTTGCAATCAAATTATGACTTGGACTCAAATTATGTGATTAACATACAGATGCCATCCAACTCCTCCTTTGTCTGAACAACTTTGTTCCAGGCCCAATCCAGAATGTAACGCAAGTTCAGAGCAGACCCTGGTTGTTCTGGTTTAAAATAAGAGTAAGCAACAACACTGACTAAGGCAGATGTTTAAAAAAAAACAAAAAAAACATTTTTCTCACCCTCTGCAGTCCATTGTTTTATACAGCCAGTAATTAATCCCAAAGAGCTGGTCTCCACAGCTGTGCATAAAATGGCATCTAGCTGCTCCTCCTGAAACATCCGTAGTTTACAAAAAAGAAAACTACATGAGTTGGTTGAAGTGTGCGGTGAGTACCTGAGTGAGGCTGGATGACTGAGTGTCTGCCAGGCGGCTGGAGAGCAGACCGGACATGAGGCAGCGAGAATAACTGGTAGAGATGACTTCACTAGAACAAGGAGCAGCTTTCTTTAAGAAGCTCAGAGTCTGAAATTAAGTGTCACAAGTTAATTTAAACAAAACTCGGATATGTTTGCAAAATAATAAAAGCTAATTTAAATTTGTAAATTTTAGAGCTTGCCTCTTTTTGATATCCAGAGCAGGTTAGGTGTACAATTCCAGTGTTGAGCAAACAGGTAGCATCTGCCAGTGAACGTCAGTTTTAGATTGATATTTTTGTCACTTCATAAATTTATTTAATTTTGCTACTAACCAAAGTTGTATGTTGTGGGATTGAAGTATTGCTCGGGTGGAGGGCAGGTATATGGTAAACCTCTGCTTAGGCTGCGGTCATTCACTAACACATCCAACAGCACATTTGGGGACACCATTTGCATCACAGTGTCCAGAGACCACACGGCCAAATAAGGACAATTCTGCAATGACTCTCCAGCTCTAACAAAGCACAGACAATATACATTTTACAAAACTACTGCTTATAAAGGCTTAAGGAAAAATACCAACCCATACCTTAAGGAGTCTGGCATCTGTGCATGATACCAGCGGTTGATGTCAAACACTCCAATAAAGGTAGCTGGAGTTCCTTGTCCATAGGCCTTCACTTGCCAAATAAAGATAGACACACTGGTATCAGGGGATGACACTAAAAAGATTTTTAAAAAAGATAATTAAACTACATTTTTAAAATTGTATTTGAAATAACATTGTACATGCATAATTTATATGTATTAAACTATAATAATTATTATATATTTATATACATTAATAAACAAGCATGCCTTCATTCATGCTGTCATCTCTGTCGTGGTGAGGTCTAAATTTCTCAATGGTCTGACAGTTAAGCAAGCGGGTGTTGGTGGCCTGTGCCCTGAGAGGAAATGCCGTGCCACTCAACTCCTGACTGTAACGCTCCTCGCAGTATTCCAGACCCTGAAAACATAACAATCTTTAAAATAGAGAAGACACACAGAAATAGTTATAGCTACTATTACTGCCCCAATGTTCATACCTCATAAAGGATCTTCCCAGAGGCTGAACATTTTCTTTCACCGAAGGCCAGTTGCAGCAGACGGAGGCTGACCATGTCCCCTTCACTTTCATCAGAAAAAAAAAAACAACAATATTTAATATATATAACAACATTAGCTGCTATTTGATATATATATATATATATATATATATATATATAAATAATAGTGGGAAATGTGGTTTACAGGTCTTGAGAGGACTGGACAGCCCAGAGGTAGCAACAATTCCTGGGGTCATTTTCAGGCTCCTGGAAGGTAAATGCATTCACAGGGACCTTACCACCTTCTAACTGAGAATGGTATCTAAATAAGATAATTACAAAAAAACAGATTAAATTAAAATTTTGTATGAAATATGCCCAAATTATCTGTACATATTTAACATCTAAAGTCTTACTCTTTTTTAAGAGCTTTCATGTTCCACAGATGCAAGTATCCATCTGAAAACCCTACAGCCAACTGATTAGTCCTGGCGATGTATTGTAGAGCTGTAGCCCCAACACCTGTGGCTCCATTCAGCTGGAGACAAAGATGCCTGCCTTCTCTACTGCTGACTTCTCTAAGCTTTGGGATCTCTGTTGGGGACTTGGTCACAACCTGCAAGTCTAGAAATAGAACAAAAACATCATGAAGGGCACTGCTATATAGGAAGTATTCATTTGCTGAAATTGACATAATACCTGATGCTTCTAGCTCACTTTGGCTGCATGAGAGATCATCGAGACACAGATCTACTAACAGAACATGCCCCAAGTCAGTTCCGACTGCAGCGATGCCGAAAAACCAGCGTAAACTCTGATGGAGGTGCTGTGTCGAGGTACTTGCACCCCCGTAGCTCACTAATGGCTCAATAGCTGTAATCTTTATTAAAAAAAGAGAGCACTCAGTAGCATATACAGTTTGAGGATGTGCATTTGTATCTATGCAAGTAATAATATATGAATATTAGGCTTCTAACAAATGTGTGAAATGAAAAGATTCATCATGTACTTACTCGGCCTGGTATAACCACAGATTTTACCACACGTGACAACCCCAAGTCATACAGGCACAGTACACTGCCCTCAGCCTCCTCCAAGCCAATAAGTAACCCAGATCTATAGTTGAAACATTTCATACAGCAGGGTCATTTTCATAAATACATTGGTATATCATAGCATTATTATGTATTACTGTAACAACTCATCATACAACACAACTTATGATAAAAGTAAAATTTCTGCTGACCTTTTTAACCAACTGAAGTCTTTAGCAGCTAGGATGCAGGGTGGATGTTCCCCTCCACCACTGAAAGTGTATGCAGACAGTCGCTCCCCTGTCATGGCATGGACAGCCTCCAGATGGGGCCCACATGCCAACCAGGCAAGCCCACTTCTCCCTTTAAACAAATGTGAGTTATGTGTTGGCACTTTATATCAATCCTATTATGGTAGATCTGTTATGCCAAGGAACATACCAACAGTGAATTTCCCCTGAAGGACAGAGTCCAGTGTGATCTCATCCTCTCCCAAGGCATTCAAAGTGACTCCAGGGAAGGGCAGGAGACTGCTGGTGACCTGGGCCGTCAGATCATGCATTGTGCACTAAAAGAAATAATGAAAAATTTTGTATGCTATAAACTTTTTGGTTAACAAAACATAAAAATTAACAAGTTGCGTTTGATCTGTGTAGTGCAGTTGAGCAATAAGGGACACAGTTTTACCACTATTCACGTTTAGCAAAACAAATGGGGTCTTTCATTCTGCACACAGTTGGACACACAGCTGTCAGCAGCTGGTTGGCTGCGGAATATGTAAATTCCGCAGAGACAAACACACGTGCACAGCACAAAGTCTCGTGTTTTTGTAAGCAGAGGGGAGCATGAAAAAAAAAGTTTATTGCTTCTAGTCTAATCAATACCGTAAGTAACACGGCTATGTTTGAGGACTCAAATTGAGCACAACACTGCCCTCTTCGACAGCATTTGAAAACACAATTGATTCAAGTGAACTCCCGCGCAACACGTCTGTCACTGCGCAGTGGCACGGGCATGCGTGTAAATCCTGACCCGTGTGGACTCAGATCACGGTTTTCAAACCATATTTAAATAAGTTTGCAGTTTTGCAGTTTTCCAGTTGGGTCACGCAGCCTAAAGTGACCGGATGGTTTTGCACATTTATTGGCAGGGCCTCACTATAGGAGGGAGACATGATCTGGCACACTGAGCATGGAATAGTCTAAGTAACCCAGTTTGTAGTGCTGTAAACAGACACACTATGCCACAGCAAACTGTCAAGACAAACGCGGTGTGCAACAACAACTGCTCAGAGTTAAGCAGATTATGCAGATACAATGATTTCACCATTTATAGGGAGGCTATCCTGCTAGCTTACAAGGTCACACAGAACTGAGTCAGAGCTTTCAGAGTATAGCTAGCATAACCGAGTAATAATTTCAGTTTATCCTGTTTAAAGATAATAAATTTAAAGAAAACAATCCGTGACCCAATGGAGGTTTAAGGCACAGGCTTTCAGCTATGGCATAGTTTTATTTGCTAACTTGAATGACTCTCACTATTTTCAGTAAGCATGGTGGCTAACGTTAGCCAGAGGACTACGGCTAAATTTCAACAGTTCACATATATTCGCATACAAGACACCGCTGGTTATAAGGTAATGTTTAAGAGTCCTTACTGTTAGAATAATTACGCAAAATCATGTAGTTACAAATGACAATTCAAAAAGAGAATAACTGTATAGCCTCAATTGCCAAGATAAACTAAGCAAGTCACTCGTATAAACGTGTAGCTAATAGGGTATGATGTCCAACACTGATGCTTAGCAACAAAACAATTAAATTTTACAAACCCGACCTTATTATTTGAGATGTTTGAGCGTTATATGCAAGAATGTTAACTCCATTTAGCGGCTTCAGACACGCGTTGTTTAATAAAACGTGATGCAATGTGCCGCTAGGCTACCTGTCTGTCTGGTGAGGGTAGCCACTTTAGCCTCCAATGTTTGTCTTTTCCAGGTGATAAATCCAATCGTCCAACTCCCTGGTCATAATCAGCTCCTTATCAAATTCATCCAGAGATACACCTGATAGACAAGCACGCTACACAGCTCCAGACTTCAGGCTTTCACAGGGATAAGCGCCATTTCCATCAAAACTGCAAACAGCACAGCTCAGAACACAGCGCACTCCAAAGAACAGATGCCCTCTAAAGGCTGGGCGGAATCACTAAATAACTTATTTTTCTGGAATTATATTAGTTTGTATTTAATTTGTATTGTTTGATTGAAATAATATCTTTGTCTGCCATTTGTAACACATCAATATTTACATTCATGCAGTGTGTATTTTAAACAAGCTGGCTGTTGTTCAACTAAAGGATATTCTAATAATACATTAAAATGTACCTGCATAAAAACTATACATTAATAAAACACCTCAGATTATTATGTAGTTACTTTGGATTCACTCGGATTATTGTTGCTTCCTCATATGCTTCCAAATGGTGGAGAGGTCAAATAAGGTCTGAGCTCTCAGGTTAGGTTGTTTATTATAGTAGATAGCAAAAACATTTAGCATTTTTGGGAGGGATTTATTGAAATACAAAAGAATGTATAAAATAGATCCAAAAAATAAAAATGTCATTTTGCAGCAAGTTAATACATGTTTTACTTTCAGCGTCAATACAAAGTGCAAAAAGAACGTCTGTGGTATGAAGTATTTATTTTTGTATACAATACCAATGATTTGTGGCATTTTGTCTCAACATCATGTTTAATAATCTCATGATCTCATGTTTGATTTTAATGATAAAAAAGCACATTTCTGGTTAAATTATTGTTTACTTTTTTATGTATAAAAACACTCAAAGTAGTGTAGCAGCGGATTTTGTCTTCATCTGTTGTTCAATCATCAAGTCAAATTCTTGCCTTTCCCTAATATAAGACATAAACAAATTTTTATTTATCTGACACGATTTGACATACAAATGGTTATCTTTATCCATCTCTATCTTACCTGTTGCTTACACATCGCCCTTTAAGATATTTTTCTTCTGCTTTTTTTATTGAGATGTGGTCTACTCCAGCTATGGCATGAATTAGAGCCTATAGATAGACATAACAATAAATATACAGCAAAACTTAAAATGGTAAAATAATTAAAATTCCCATTACAACTTACCTCTGGTAAAAGGACATCCAGGACAAAGGGAACATGATCTACTCTTTTAATACTCTCAAGGCAAGAGTCGGTCTCTGCAGCAGTCGTGTAAAGCTTGCTTAAATGCCAGTACACCCGATCCAGCTGTTCATCGTCTTCCAGATAAATATTCACTATCCCTCTTTTTCTTCTCCTTGCACTCAAGAACAAGCAAAGCCACTTGGACTGCCGCTGCCCGCACATTACCGCCTATAAAAAGTTAAAGGAGACCCATTACTATGAAAACGTGTTAACTGCACAAAGGTATAATTTGTATTTGGACTTCCCAAGTGTTTAAAGTGTAACATAGCACACATTCTTTTGTTTTCAATTAAATGTTCTGCTTTGTAAACATGTTTATATGCATCAATAATAATAATAATAATAATAATAATAATAATAATGATAAGAAGAAGAAGAAGAATACCATGAGGTGCTGGTCCACCATGTGCTGCTTTACGATGAAATAAACAAGTTTCTCATTTGCTCGCGTATGGGCAGCGTGTGTCCGGTCTGGCAGCAGCCTCTTTGCATGCTTCACATCTTCCTCCTGTGGCTCATTAAAACTATCGTCCAGATCATCACCTGAAAATGTCTCGTCCACCACAATATCATTTGCAAAAGTCAGTCTCTCTGAAATGGACTGGTATTTTCTTCTCACTGGATAACCTGCATTTATTAAATTTTAGAAGTTAAAAGGTTGAGCTTTGGCTGCTGATAAAATGTGATTTGCTATGTGTACAAATAACATACTTATATTGTGAGCGTAGTACTCAATAAACGAGCCTGAGAACGATCCAATTCCTAAATAACAAACACAAATTTAATACAAAACCAGCAAAAAAATAATGATTAAAAAACCTTACCTTTACGCATAATGTAATCTTCTATGAGATCAATCGACCACTGAATGGCTACATTATACTTTTCTTTGGCTTTGCACTGCAACAAATGGAAAACATAAGTTAAATGCAGTGTGCTATGTCTGGCAATACAGTAAAAATTAAAGAGACTTACAATAAGTTCTTTGAATTCTTCACATTCATATGGTTTGAGAGTTTTCAGAGAAACCAAAAATCTGCAGATACATTTTTGAAAGTCAGGAACAAAACAGAAAAACCTAAACATTTACATATTTCTTACCCCCTCTTTTGTTGAATAAATTTCTCCTCAACAATCAAAATGCTCGCTCTTTTCATTTTGTGATTCACACGTTTTACCTATAACAGCATTTTTACCCACCATTAAAAAATAATAATCAAATAATCTTCACTAACTTAACTTTGATCTTCACATCACTTTGATAACTTTAATGAACATTGTTATCCTCACCATTGCAGGCCAGAAAGGGTAATTTCTGAATTTATACCACACAAATCCTCCAGCTATTATCGATGATTCTGTAGGTCAATTAAGAATACATGTCTATACTGTTTTTACAGTACACAATGAGCGTGTAGTGAAATTGTGATGAAACTTACTTGTGTCTACCATTAAGAAACTTGGAAACTCATCCTCTTCATCTTCCTGACTCCCCTCATCCTCCTGGAAGGACAAATGTGGCTGTGGTTCCTCATGTACACTTAGTTCTATTGACAGGTCTGATGATGGTAACTCATCTATTTGGTAAAATTCAAAAAACATGCAAACTCAATTAATGCACATTAAAGCAGTCCATATAGCACCTGCTCACTACTCTTCGCAAAAGAACAAAAATATGATTTACCTTGCTCGACAGAACTTGAACTGTCCAAATTTAACCTTGGCCTTGAGTGTCGAGTTTGCTCAGTAAAATGTTCCTTTGAATTTGTTTTTCTGCCACTTTTTGGTTTGGCATGAGAATTTTTGTTTTTAACACATGCTCTCTGTTTGATTGTCCTCAGTTGTCTTGGTTTTTGGCCCCTCCTCCAGTTGCATCTTTTGACTCTGTCAACTGGGGATTCTGTGTCTGATATCTGTAAGGGATTACAGAAAAAGATTATTAAGATATAAAAATACATAAATAAAGCAAAGTAAACTAACAGTGATCTACCTTTTTAATCTTTTCAGGAGAGGGTGAAGAGAGTTCAGACAGGTCTTTAAGTGAATTTCCAACTGGTGTAGAGGTCATACATTGTTCTTGGTTCTGATTAAACTTTCTGATGGATCTCCGCGGAGTACACTCGAGTGGTTTAAGGACAGTGCCAGATAATGCCAAATTGCCAGGAGACTCTGGAGTTAAAAGTGACACAGAAGACATACCTGGGATGTCTTTGTGCAGGCGGAAAATAAACTGTTATTATGTATCTTAACAAGCAGCAGATAATAATATAAAGTGAATTTACCTGTCATTGTTAGGAAAGCTTGTGCGTTGGCCTGGCCAAATGAAATGCTTTAGAGCCTTATTTAAAAAAAAAAAAGGCATTTAAAGTAAGCAAAATGTTGCCAAGTAACACACTAACGTTTAACCCAACAGATCATCCTATAAATACAATGCTTGTAGGTTTAAAATCGAAACGTGCAAAATAAACAACAAAAAACAAGGATACAAAAAACGCGCAATAGATGGCTCTGCACCTCCAATTGGTATAGATGCTTTCTTTCTTCCAATCTTGTACAGATGAACAAATACACAAAAACATTCAAAAGCATTCAAAGGTAGTAAAAATAATCTCGAAACACTCTACATAGTTTCATTTTATGTTTTCTTTTACTTCCGGGTTTTCTTCCTCATAAACTTGAGGGGGAAAGTGGAAAGAAGCAATGGCGCCCTCTTTGACTCACGGAGGTAACGCATCACCGCCCCTTAAATCCAGCAGAGGACGCTGTGTGTCTACTCTCGTGCTTCTACTCATCTGCATGAAAACACCCTAGCTCATTCGTACAAAAAGGAGTCTAAATAATCAGAACTAGCCTACAGTTTACCTAGATTTAAGAGAATGGCGTTGTAGCCACATTGACTAATCTTCTCTTCGTTTGGAGCGAGCCTTAAATGAATGTAGCCTAATGACTTTTTTTATTCCAAGTAAAATGTGATTGTAGTCTACACGTAGATCTGCGGAGTGCGTTAAAACATAGAAAAGTAAAGTTAGGTGGGTAATACTGTCGGTTTAATCATTTCCTATAAACTACAGAACTTAAGTGGGTTGTGTTGTTTAACGCATCAAAACAGCAACGTGCGGCTGTCGATGCTGTGGTGACCTGTGGTTGGCGATGCAGTCAGTGGTGTGGACTGAGAGCTGGTTCCGCCTCCATACAGATGTGCTTGCCCTTCGCCGGTTTCTGCAGCGCACAGTTGGGAGAGCGCATGGATCTACAAGTCCATTGGAAAATGGAAAATCTCCACTGTTGGCTACATCTTATGAGAACAAGACAGATAAAATTATTTATTTCAATCGTGGTATAACCTGTTAAAATCTTTTTGGTGGACGAAAATTGTGGATTTTGTTTTACCTGTTTAGCCTTAAAGCTGCGAGAAGAGGCAGATCTACTGCACTCAGGCACAGAGCCTCATTGCGCACACAACACGCTGCTGACAAGGAGCGGTCCTCGCACCAACAGACTGGTCTTCATGAGAGACTCGACTGCAAATCACAATTTTGCATTTCTTCTAAGGAACTGGGATTTTCCCTGTCATCCACATGCGCTTGGAAGCTTACCACCAGACTGAGAAGAGCAACCTGCAGGGGCAAGCAGTTTAGGATATTGGCTCTTTTTCGGAGATATCCTGCCCATACCCTTCTCTACTCATCGCCTTCAACATGACTTCACTATCGGGAACGAAGGAGAGGTCTGGAAACAGCAGGAGCAGAAAATATGCGGTAGGTTTTGATTGGACTTCTGTTGCTTTTTTACATAACATTTTATTCCATGATGATTGTTATGACTACTTTTAGGCAACTTAAGTGCCACAACCAGTCTATACTACTATGCAGTCTGTCTCACATCTTAAGCTTAAAAGACCGAGGCTATTTTAGGTGCAACAAAACCACCTGTCACCACGTACATCTCAGTCCAATTAGTCTTCATTTATAACTCACTATTGTTTCTGTTCACCTGCTGAGATGATTGAGCTAAGCTATTTGGTTCTTATTATAACTTGGCTATTAACTGGAATAATCATCGTCAAACTATTGATACCGTTATACAGTGTGCTTTTTGTAGTACTATTTGTATATAGCTTTTGAAGTTACTGCAAAATGTTTTGTCAGTACAGCTATCATTTTGAGCTGGGGCCAGTTAACCAGTTGTGTTGTAGGCTATCTGTAGAAATAGATAACTTAATTTAATAGCCTACCCTTTGAGGAAAAAAATGAACAAAAAGAAGGAGGTATAGATGACACTCAAATAGTGTTTAAATTTCCCTCTTTGTCCCAGGGCCATAGTTGCTGTGATAGATCCTACTTCTAATTACAAAATAGACATGCAGCCAATATAGCCTAGTAGAAATATAGTAGAATATAAGACAATATGATTTTCAAGTGCCTTATTTTACTTACTTTTTAGGTACCCGACACATCCCCTACCAAATCCTCCTCTTATTTACCAGAAACTTGGTACCGTAAAGTCTATGATGACGGTACTCGCTCTAGCACGCGCCCTGCCCCAGAGGGTGCTGGTTCAATGCCAAGCTCCACAGGCACCCCGTCCCCTGGCTCTGGGATCTCCTCTCCCGGATCATTCTCTGGATCACCAGGGACCATCTCTCCAGGAATCGGAACAGGATCTCCAGGTTCCCTCGGAGGATCCCCTGGATTTGGAACTGGATCTCCGGCTTCAGGTAGTGGGAGCTCCCCTGGCAGTGAGAGAGTCATTTGGTGTGAAAACTGCAACGTCAGGCTGACGGAACTCAAGAGACAAGCACTGAAATTGCTCATCCCTGGGCCATACTCCAGCAAGGTAATCCACTATACCCATTAACACCCTTTTATTTTACTCAAACATTGCTTGTGGTGCACAAATTGCATGAGTCTCAATTAACTGCTGCATTTGAGTATTTGACATACATTAACTTGGTTGCTTCTGAAAGACTACCATCTCATCAGTCACTTGTTCATTGTAATAGTGTGTAATCACAGTTATTGTTGTCATAAATCATATACAGCCAATAAATTGTTTAGTTGAAACGAGCCTTTGGGTCTATTGTTAGTCACTAAAATATTTTTAATGGATGGCTGCTATTGCATGTATAAATTATATGCTGTTATTGTTATTGTGATTGCGTTTTCAGTTTTATACAGATATCTTAATTCATATAGTGGTCCATACAACATACATATTGGATCATTGGAGATTATGATAAGGATAGAAGTCCACTTCTTTTACAGATATAAAAATAACATTTGATATCATCTGACACTATTTGTGGCAGTACAGTGGCTGAGTGGCTTCCACTCACACTTCACAGGAAGAAGATTCCACAGCTCCTGATGAGATGCCATTGAAGGATGGGTCAAATGCAGAGGACAAATTTTCCTTCGGGGCAATAAACTTACACCTTACACAGTCGACAGCTTTGTGTTAGCCCAAAGCCTGTATTTGTTTGTTTATTTATTTATTTATTTATTTATTTTAGTTAGTTAGTTAGTTTATTTAGCAGGAACAGTGTACATTAATCAACATTTCTGTAAATGTACCAAAATTAGCCAAGGGCTATTCTTTATTAACAGTCTCTGAACAGATCATAAATATGGTCACCCTAAAACACAGCAATAAGAGTGATACAAAACAGTGTAATTATACGAAACAGTTATAAGCAGTGAGAATACAAACAGACATTAACAACTATGTACAGAGAGAGAAATAAAACATACAATCGAGGACACAGGACAGCAGGGACAGGAAAAGCACGCTCAGATAAGGAAGGACACTGATGTGTTTTTAGCTAGTTCTAACATGTTTTTTGAACAGACTGTATGAAGTTAGGCCTCTGATGCCAGGAAGAGGAGTTCCACTCCTGAGAGGCTAAGAAAAAGTAGAGAAAAAAAAAGTGATAGAAAAAGTATTCTGACAGAATGCACTTTTCCTCAGGGCAACTCTGTAGTCTCCATGGGCTGCCCCTCGAGTGAGTCGACTTGTGGTGGTTTTGATGAGTGGAGAACATGACTGGCCATGGATAGTTTTGTAAATGATCACAGACTGGTCACACACTCGACTAGTAGAAGACAATTGGTGGTACATATTTGGAAAAAACTTAACATGAAATATCTCAGTGAAACTTACAGTGGCAACTTAAAATGTATGAAGATGAAGATATAAGTGTAGATAATGGATTTAACAAATGGATGTGACATTTGAAAAGTGTAAAAGCGGTTGAAAGCTAATGAGGATTGTCATTGAGCACACGCTAATTAAAATGTTTCTGGTGAGGTTATGTCAAGGCAATTAAAGTGCCTCTTCTGTAGTTACACAGAGCCCATTGGTCATGTTCTATTTTATCAACTTGTTGAGCCTTTACTCTGCCCCATGTTTGTGGTTTGTGTCTGGGAAAGCAAATGCCCTATCTTAATCTAGAAGCCCTTTTCAACAGAGGTGCAGCTCAGTATCATTGTATGATGCAGTACTTCTTGGTTTGCTGTCCACATAAAGATCTTCTTCTTGTGGACTGAGCTATAAAAGTCACCTCCTAACAGCATGAACAAAACCTAACCATCTTTTTACAGAATACAAATAAGGAAACATTGAATCAGTGGGTTATTAGTAATACAATATATGACATTTCTGACCTGTGGCGACACTCAGCCATCTCTTTTCAGATGACTGTTGTTTACCTAATGCTAATTATATGATAATGTTGACCTTCACTAGCATCACTGTGGCCACTTTGATGTTGCATTGATGTTTCTACACACAATATGCATAATTGATAAAGTTAACTCCTGGCTGTTATCAAAATTGAACCATATCATTGCACTGTGAACTTGTTGAATTATGCCTAATTCAGAACATGAAGGTCATTTATCTCCTATGAATATTTTGGGACTGGATCTTGTCTCTGCAAATGTGGGCACAATGTGTTGATGTCTAATCACATAGACAGCAGACAGATTCAACTCTTAGGGAGCCTAGTCTTGAGCACTGGCCACACTGCATCCGTCTATAGAGAGTGGCGTGAGTCTGTTTGTGCAGATGTTACTTCACTAAACATGAATAAATGGAGCAAGATCTGTTTTTGATTTGTCCAGTTAAGCTCAGAAAAGTGGGTCAGTGTGTGACCGTGTAATACTGATATGGGGACAAAAAAAGGATTTTGCTCCAAAAATAACTTTAAGAGTTTGTTATCTGTTGTTAAAAGTTATTTTATATGGTATCTAATTAATTAATAAAAAGACACTTTTAAATAAGATACAGTCCCTGACAAAAGTCTTGTCACTTATCCATTTTGTAGAAACAAAAGCTTATAACCTGACTTTAAATCAATCAGTTGGTTTTAGAAATGTCTCATATGAAAGCTAAAACCCTCCCAAATTATGCTCAATATACTAAAATAAATTTGCTTCACTGAAGAAAGATTGATCATTTAATGAACACAGAAAGGTCAGATTTTGACAAGACAAAAGTCTTGTCGCCTACAGAAAATTGAATTTTTTTTTTACTTCAAATACAAAAATATGTTGCATAACGTCAGTGAATTAAGTAGTGGTACTGTGAGATCCATATTTAATATCTTGTATGACTTCCATGAGCTTGAAGGACTGCATCCATGCGGATCGACAATGATTCATACAATTTGTTGATGAAGTCATCAGGAATAGCAAAGAAAGCGTCTTACATGCCTCCCAGAGTTCATCAAGATTCTTTGGTTTTGCCTTCCATGCTTCCTCTTTCATTCTACCCCAGACATGCTCAATGATGTTCATGTCTGGTGACTGGGCTGGCCAGTCCTGGAGCACCTTGATCTTCTTCGCCTTGAGAAACTTTGATGTAGAGATAGAAGTATGCGATGGAGCACCAACCTGCTGCAAAATTTGACCCCTTTTATGGTTGGGAATGTAAGAGGAGCTAATACTTCTTGATATTTTAGGTTATTGATATTGCCTTCCACCCTGCAAATGTCTCACACAGTCCCATACTGGATGGAACCCCAGACCAGGATTTTTCCGCCATCAAACTTAACTGTTTTCTGGGTGAATCTTGGATCCATGCGGGCTCCAGTAGGTCTCCTGCAATATTTGCGGCAGCTGTGATGTATTTCAACCGAGGATTCATCTGAGAAATCCACCTTCTGCCACTTTTCCAGTGTCCATCCTTTTAGCAGGCTGTGGGCCTTGGCAAATGCCACACAGTTTTTTAATTGCCTTTTGTTTAGTGCAGGTTTCTGTGCACTGATTCGACCATGGAGGCCATTTCGAGACAAAATTCTACAAACTGTTCTGGTTGACACAGGGACTTGAGGTGAACAGGCCTGGTGCAGCTCTGCTGCACTGGAAAAGGGGCTGGCCTTGGAATCAACAAACAGTCCTCCCGAGCAGTTGTCTTGCGGGGTCTGCTGGACCTGGGCTTGTCAAAAACATCTCCAGTCATTTCAGATCTTTTTCTTATTCTTTGTACTTGATGCTGAGACACATTGAAGGTGTCAGCCACCTCAGCAGTGGATCTGGTCTTCAGCCTCTTGATAATTAACGCTTTGGTCTCAGGGTGGATCTTAGGCATGTTGTCAGAGGTCAAGTTGAAGGTCTGGTGTGCTGGGGTTCTTTTTATACACACCCACTAATTGATTGATCAGTAACTGATCACAGGTGAGGCTGTAATCTAGGATTGGGTGCATCATATGACAAGGCGACAAGACTTTTGTCTTGCCAAAATCTGACCTTTCTGCGTTCATTAAATGATCAATCTTTCTTCAGTGAAGCAAATTTATTTTAGTATATTGAGCATAATTTGGGAGGGTTTTAGCTATCATATGAGACATTTCTAAAACCAATCGATTAATTTAAAGTCAGGTTATAAGCTTTTGTTTCTACAAAATGGATAAGCGACAAGACTTTTGTCAGGGACTGTATATTCAGATCAAACAGGCACATGTTTATAATACTTAGAGTATACATAGTGCGTATGCAGACTAAGAAACCCTAAAAAGGACGTGTGCATGAATGTAGTTTGGAATACCAATGCGAATGCCCCTAACATGTAATGCAAAGAGTAAGATTTCTGTCTCTGAATTGCAAAAATGACAAACAGATAAAATACACCTGTAACCAAAGTGTTGTAGTAAAGATAAGGAAAGAAAAAGAAATCCACAACATTGAACAGAATTCAAAAGACTTAGATAAAAATGACATAGATTAAATTAGTTTGGGGAATGTCTTTGGAAAAAAAGTATAATTTCTTATGACCAAAATGTATTTTAATGAGTAAAATTTTCATTGTAGACTGGGCTCATTCACACCACTACTGGATTAGCTAAATGTTATTAATTCTCTTCTAATGGTGTCTTAGACTTCAAAACGAGACTGATTAGTCAACATATGAGCTGTAATAAAACGCAAACCAGTGTTCTCCTTGGCTATCACTCTCCAAGGGGGATATTTTTTTGTATTGAGGTGGTTAGTTGTCTATCTCATCATAACCAGATCCCACAATGTTACAGTAGGCCCCGGTAACCGCTGCAGCTTCTGTTGCCCAGGCAGCGACTTGGCGACAGATGTGATGTGAATACACAACTCTGTCAGAGTTAATGGGCAGCTCATCGCTGTGTGCATGTTGGTGATAGGTGAAGAGAGGGTGATGCTGCCTAGTGTTCAGGCAAGGTGAAAAAAGTATATAGATGGAGAGTGAGGGAGAGAGATATCATGTGCTCTTATGCCTTTCAGGTGTGAAAGACATTACCATATAAAGAGGTGGCATCATCAATAACAGCAGACTGAGCGGATGGATAGATTTTGTTGAGGGAGGAGGAA